AAAAACGTCGCGAAGATACAGTGTAATTACTGAAGAAATATGAGGAGGTTTAGAAAATGGGTTATAGAAGACAAGAAGGAAGGAGCGGATGGCGAAAGATTACTGGGGAAGAACGAGCAGCGAGAATCCACCCGCCTCCGCATTTTCAGGGAAGGAGCGACGGCCTGGCTTCTTGCTATGCGCGTGCGCAGTAAGGCGACGGAAACGACGAGGAATAAAAAGTCCTACAGCAAGAATTTGGGGAAATCGGGGGACAATTCGGGCAAAGGCTTCAGCGAGTGATGAATTACCGGGGTACATGGCGAAATGCGCACTGCGGACCGTGGACCTCGGCAAGCTGCAGTGAGTCTGGCTGGGTCTGGCATTTGGTGGAGGAAGGAGCGGCCTTGCCGAGTTTGTTTGGTTGTATTGGACACTCAGCCAATTAGATGACGCTGACGGCTTATACTGCACTTTTATTTATTGGCTGCGGTCCACCCTAATTGAGAAGCGCACATGTGCCTAGCATACAGTATGAATAATATAGTCAATATGTCCCAGACACTGTACATAACACTGTATTCTTGGCATGTCATGATGTCACTCACGACTTACATCTGAAGTTCTCACCGCAAGAGGAACACGCAACAGTATGTGGAGTCTCACCGTAGATATATTTAGAATTTAAAGTTATTGGAACAGCAATATGCAGTGAGTTCATGTCGTTTTATAAATATATGCATGCCAGAATGACTCAAGAAACTCACAAGATCAATGGCCAGCCCACAAAGCTTTCCAGTATCTTGTAGACGGTCCACCAAAACACCCACCAGCTTTTTCAAATTGCTTCATCAAAGATTATCGCTCACTACTCATGAAGCCTTTGATTTCTTCCCGCCACGTCGTCGAGTCGTTCTCGGTGCCGTATAGTTCTCGTCCCCTTCTGCATCCTCGTCCATATCGGCATCAACGCCTTCGTCCAAGATGTCCTCGTCGTCTTCCTCAAGCAATGCAGCCGAGGCTCTTCCCTTGCGCTTTCGGCCAGCAGATGGTTTGGACGTTGGCACGACCGGCTCCGAGGTTGTGCTATCAGACTCGACGGCCGTCGTGTTGGCCTTGAGCCTGCTGACGGCGGCGGCGAGGCGGCGGCTGCTGGCCGTGTTCTTGTTGCGGGGCGCGTGGCGCGGCGCGTACTCCTCGGGGATGTTGGCCAGCTGCTGCTGCTGCAGGCGCTGCTGCTTTTCCTGCTGCTCGCGCACTTGTGCCTCGGTCAGCCGCGCGCCTGCGCCGACAGCGCCCGAGAAGTAGCGTGTAATGTTGCTCTGCGTGCCCTCCGTCTCGCGGCGGTTCATGTCGCGGATCACGGGCACCAGGACCTCGTCCGTGCGTTCCTGGCTCCAGCCGATCGTGGCCATCAGGAAACTGCGCAGGCCGTCGAGGTCCGGCACACCCCACTGGAACGGCTCGGCGCTGTGGTCCACCTCGGGATGCAGGTAGGCGTCGACCACGGCTGGGCTGGGGAACCCGAGCGGCAAAAACAGCTTCGTGGCCTGCGACTTGCGGAACTTGCGCCGGAACGACGACGCGGCGTCGGCTTCTTTGGGCCGGTTGTGTGACTGCACGTCTTGCCACCACGCGCGGAACTGCTCGAGACCGTCGGCGCCGGGGAACTCGGAGATGATCTCCATGGCTGTCACAGGACCGACGCCGGGAATGCCGTCCGTGTAGTCGGAGCCCAGCAGCTGGGCAATGGCAATGAGCTTCTCGCGCGACAGCGACATCTCGCGCTCGAGGTCGGCGCCGATGTAGCATTCCACAAACTTGTTGCCGTTGAACATGTTCTTGTAGACGCGCGTGCCTCCGAACAGAAACGTGTCCGAGTCGTCCGTGACAATGCCGTCGACGAGCCCCAGCGACACGAGCTCGGCGCACTGCGCTTCCGCCTCCATGGGCGCCGTGATGTATGGAATGCCAAAGAGCCGCAGCAGGGCCTGGCACTCGGACACCATGACTTGTGTGACCTCGTCTGCGTCGCGGCGGTCCTTCTTTTGCTGGTTGCGCAGGGCCTTGAGCTCCTGTTCGTAGGCCTGCTGGGCGTCGGCGGTACTGTTGTTGTTGTGGTTGAGGGTGCTGGCAAAGCGCGCGTGTTCTTCGACTTCTTCCGCCATCTGCACGAGCAGCTCCTCGTCTTCCGGATCGCTGATTTCGTAGGCATCCTCTGTCCCCCCGCCGCCATCCCCTGTAAAGAGCTCGTCGTCCAGGTTTTCTTCTTCCTTGGGAGCGTCTGGAACCTCACCAAGTCGCAACATCGGCTCTCCCTGTTCTAGAACCGCTTGCTCTTCCTCAAATATTGTGGGCTGTTCTGGGATCTTGACGTCTTCGAATTCAACTTCCGGAGACGACTGTCTTGTTTCCGTGAGGGGTTCAGTAGTTGGTTGTGCGGTTGGTGGCTTTTGCTCGCTCCCAGTAACATCGCCTTCAATAGCGACGAGGTCCGTGTTATCCGCTTGTGGCATCCCTTCCCGAACACTATCGTTCGCTAGGTTTTCATTCTTTGGCGGTGGCGGCACATCCAGCACTTCGATATCGCTGCCGTCGTCGCTCGACGAGTCAATCTCGACGATGCGCTTCTCCTCCATGCGCTGCCAGATCTTGGCTTCTTCGAGGGCCATCTCCCGGTCTTCCGCATTGATCTCGTCGTCGTAGAGCTGCTGTTGTAGCATGGACGTGCGAATGTCCGTGTCGTGGATCATCCACGGCGGCAGAGGCTGAGGGGCCGTTTCGTCGCGGACCTTTTCGGGCCCGCCGTCGATATCAGCATCCTCCCCCTGCGCACCGTCTGATCCACTTGCCTGGGACTCGGGGCCGCTAGGCTCCCGCTCAAATCCACCGCCAACTTCGTCCTCCGAGTCTACCTCAAAGGCACCGGATTCGGCAGCATTTGCAGCCGCAACGGCAGCAGCAGTCGCGGCTGCGTTCGCTTTGGCTGATGTAGCAAAAGGCGAAGCCATATTAAGCGCCTGTGATTGTGCTGCAGCTGGCGTCCTGGGCTTTGTACGTTCCGGCGGTGGTGCTGTCGGTTTCTTCTCAAAGATGGACGTCTGCCAGTTGAGCTTCTCAAAGGGAAGAGGGCCGTCAAAAGCGTTTCGTTTCTGAGGCTGGATGGGACGGGACGAACCAGAATTCTCAACAACGGGTACGGACTTCTTTTTCCTCGCAGCCTTGGCTAAGGCGGCCCGGATATCAAGTTCGCTCCCGCTGCTGTCATCGTCGTCCAAATCATTGGCAGCTGCTGTCTCCCGTGCCTGTGCCGCCGCTGTGGCAGACCCGGATACTACGGCGTTCGATCGATTATTGACGACATGGGCAACCATTTGGCCAGTCGAACCGAAAATGGGCCGTGCCGCTTCAGCTGCCTTTTGCTGCCATTGTGGAGCAGTCCTCTCCGGCTCATCCATCACGTCCTCACTCTGGCCGTCTCCGCCATCAGACTCTGCATCAACACCATGCTGGTTTTGCAAAGACATGGCAATGGCGCGGTTCAGGTCTTCGTCTTCGTCTGCTTCTAGAGAGTTGTCAGCCTGCGGTGGCTCGTCGAGTGGCTCATGGCTTTTGACAAACAACGAATCGTCGTCCACGTCTTCGTCCGCGCCAAGAGCACGGTTGCCGGCGGCCGGTCGAGAGGGAAGCTTGGGGAGGCGGTTCAGCCCCTCAATGGGCACGTCCTCAAACTCCATGTCCTCGTCCTCGTCCGCCTCGGCGCCTCCGTCGTTGTCACCCTGGTAGCTAAAGTGCAGAGCGTCCACATCAATAGGCTTGTGCACTTCGCCCAGGTCTTTCTCCCGGCTGACGACGCCCAGGGCCCAGCCGCCTTCGGCGCCGTCGTTCTTGACGAGAATGTACTCGCGGCCGCGCTCGCCGGCCACGCGCCCGTTGAGGCCCATGGTCAGGTCGAGGCCCGTCATGCCCACCTCCAACATGAGGCGCTGCGTGAGATGGTTGCGTTCGCGCACACGCTCGATTTGGAAGCGCGAAAAGGCCATGCGGTCGGGGAACATGGTGTCAAGCTGCTCCTTGCTGAGGCCCAGACGCAGCCGGCTGCGGATGCGCGCGGCGTTGAGAATGTTGTAGCGGTCGGGCGGCGGCAGGCTCTTGAAGAAATCGCCGTCAAAGTCGATTTTCGAAAAATCGTAGAGGTTGATGTCCTCGCCGTTGTCAAACTGCCGCGCATACGACTCGAGCTCCTCGATGCTCATGATCCGCGGGTCCTCGGCGCGGCCCATGCCCTCGATGGAGCCGTGCTCGAGCTCGGGCAGGTGGTAGGCGTCCTTCTTGGTGAACTTGCGGCTCCGTAGCCGCTCCTGCTGTGTCATGTGCGCCTCCTCGGCATAGACCATCTTGTCGGCCGATGGCAGCACCTCACCCTCCACGACACCGCTGCTGTCGGGAGCCGCGACGTCGCTGGGACCGCCCGGGCCGCCCTCGCGCAGTTCCTGGTCCCGCCTCTTCCGCTTCTCTTCTTCTTCCTCGGCAAGACGGTGCATCTGCACGGCTAACAGCTTGCCGGCGGTGCGCACGGCATCGTCGCGGCGGCCTTCACGGCGGCGGCGTCGAGCCTGCAGCGTGGCGCGCTTCAGCGTGGGAGCACCGCCATCAAAGACAAAGACGGGCAGGATGCCGAACCACAGCAGTTTGCAGATGCGGCGGAAGAAGCCGACGACATGGGCGTTGCGTAAGGCGTTGCCCTCCTTATCGCGGACGGCCTTGAGAAACTGGTAGATCCAGATGGAGGCATCGACGGCCAGGCGCTTGCGGTTGAGTGTGGCCAAGTTGGTCGGCCGCGCACAGGGCTGCAGCACCTGCCACAGGCCATTGACACCCATTGCGGCGGGGTGTCTGAAAAGAAGAGGCGGTGGACGAGATGCCGATGGTCCAAGAAGGTCCAAGAAGGTCCAAAAAAAGCTCAAATGGGAGGCGGAATGGCTGTCATCGCTTCCGGTTTGGCCGTCAAGGCTGGAGAATCATGGCTGCTGAGCAGGGCCCTTGACAGTGGCAGTCGAAAGGTCTTGTGAGAAGTTCACGTCGTAGCAAGTAAGGTCTGGTCTGCAGATCTCTCGAAGACAGAAAATGATGCATTGGATGAAAGTCGCCACGACGCTGGTGAGATGCTTCTGCCTGCGTGCACTGAACGCGACGTCTACAGTGGCACTTGCCGCACGGAAATGGCGCGCAGTCACGCCGTCACTCAACGGAAAAGCGGGCCATCCTGACCCACCTTGCCACTCTAGTGAAGAGCTGGATAAAAGCATAAAATAAAAAATGCTTGTATGCGATGTCTCGTAAGGTCTAAATGCATACATACTGTGTACAGTACGTTACGGCGTGCACTGTGCTGCTCTGAGACATGTGGGGCACAGAACAAAGGCAGCGTCTTTTCCATGGCTGGGCGGATGGGCCTTTTCACAGCAAATGAGGATCACCCTATCACCGTCGGCCCAGCAAGGAAACAGACGCCAACTCCATCACTATGACGATTGCGGCCATGGCGATGCCCCCCGCTGCCACTACCACCGCTACTACCACCGAGTGATACAGAGTGAGACCGTGTGCGACGGCACAGCCGCAAAGCAAGTGGTCGATTCCTTGGAAAAGGCACAGCAGGTCAAGTGACAAAGACTCAATCGCCTCTGCTCCGAGGCCGTTTACGCACACACACACGCACACACCATGGAGTCACACGAATCTGTACCTGCGTCTGCGTCTGCGCTGACGCCCGCAGTTGCAGCGGCAGCGCCCCCATCTGCTGCTCATGTGGCAGCCATCCGAGAAGAGTCCAGGGCCTACCTGCAGTCGCTTCTCAATAAGCATCTGCTTGTGCACACGACAGACGGCCGCATGTTCCGTGGCGAGTTCAAGTGCACCGATCCCGTGGGTGTCCCCGTTTCGAGCCAATCCGAAGCCTGCCCTGGGCTGATGGGCAGATGGAAAGGGGCCGCTTTGTTCCCCGGCCGTGCCGTCCACTAACATGGCTAGGATTGTAACATCGTGCTGGCGCATGCAACCGAGTACCGGCAGCCGACGGCCCGGCAGCGGGCCCAGTACGCTGCACAGCAGGCCGCGGCGGGTCAGAGCAGCAGGGTCGTGATGAACATGACGTCGCGGTACCTGGGGCTGATTGTTACGCCGGGGCACCATATTGTGAAGATTGAGGTGGAAGAGTTTACGAGCCAATTGAAGCGGCCACCACGGCCGTCTTGACGTGACGGAGCAACGCAAGAAAAACAATACCGAATGATACCATAAATAAAGCAAAAACACCGTGTATTATATCTTTTAAGATCCGAGATCCTCCCTGACCGTTTTACATACAAAACTGCTCTCAACCTGTGGCCCTCTCTGTTTCCGCATCGCCCCATGTCCGTGGTATTACAGCCGCCGTCTAAGATCAACATCCAACAGAAAGGGGACAGGAAGAGAATACAGGCAAAATCACATGTGGCAAAAGCAAACGCAAAACTCAAAACTCATCCTAGATTCCAATAATGACCATAGAAATACAAAACGAAAAAAGGGCACAAGGGTAAAAGAGGACAGCAAATGAAAAAGGGGTATCGTTCACTGCCACAGAGAAAAGAGAAACTGGTCGCCAAAGGACACACCTTTCTCCCACCCTCCGAAACAGCAGTCGAAAGGAACGACTAAAGGTCAAGAGAAAAATCCATTGGCAAATAAAAATTATGACAGAACGAGGTACGTGCCAAAAGTGGTCCGTCACGAGACGACTCTGCTTACGCAGCAATCTCCTGGGTGCGGCCGCGGCTCTCGCCGTTCAGGCCGACCTCGCTCTCGCCAAGGTCGTCCTCGTCGCCGCGAAGCTCGTCGTCCTCTTCGTCGTCCTCGTCGCCGTACTTGCCGCCGTGCTCGCCGGCCGAGACCCACTGGTCACGGTCGTTGAGGGGCGCGTCCTGGCCCGACAGGTCGTGGCCGTTGCCGGCATCCTCGGCGCGGGCCTTGATGAGGTTGCGGCGGCGCGTGGACAGGGTGCGGGCGCGGGTGGACAGCTTGGAGGAGACGGCGGCGTTCTGGGAGACCCAGTTGGTCAGCGAGTCCTCGCAGTCCTGGATGATGGCCTTGCTGGCCTCGTAGCCGTCGTAGGCCGGGCGGGTCTCGCCGGGGGTGACGGGGGTGTCGTCGATGAGCTCGAGCAGGTGCTTGCCGTAGCCCGCAATGATGGCGACCTTCTCGCTGTGCTCGCGCATGGCGTCAAAGTGGTACGCGTAGGCGGCCTTGATCTTCTCGCGCGTAATGTTGGACAGCTGGGCCTCGGCGACGAGCGACTCGGCCTCGGCGCGCACGAGCTCCTGCTCGAGCACGACAATCTTGGGCGAGTTGGGCTCCTTGTACTTGAGGTGCGCGATCTGGTCGGTAATCTTCTGCTTGCGGTCGCGGCTGGGCTGGACCGAGGCCTCGATGTTGCGGATGCTCTTCATGGTGACGCGGTACTGGTCGTAGCGGTCGACGTATTGGTCCTCCAGCTCGCCAATCTCGTAGATGAGCACGCCGAGCTTGTCGGTGACGTCGGACACGTCCTCGTCGCCGGCCTCGCCCCAGATGGACAGCTGCTGGGCCACGTCCATGCGCTCCTTGGCGACAAGCTCCATGCTGCGCATCACGTTCTTCTCCATCTTGACAAGCTGCGACAGCTTCTTCGACAGGTCCGGGCCGAAAGCACCGGCCGCGTTCCTTCTAAGAGCATGGCCTGGAGGGTTTGGTTGTTAGCCACGAATTGAGCTCAATTGCGATGAAGGCATTTGGCGACATGTCTTACCGAATCCTCCCTTGCCGAACAGGCGGTTGGACTTTGTAGACGAGGGCGGGGGCGGGGGATTCTGTGTATCGCGGAAGGTCCGGGTTAGTGGTTGGCGTCAGACACGGCAGGGGCGACCGCAATGGCTGTAACGGCCGCAACAACCAAAACGGCAGGAAACAGCCAACAGTCAAAGGGATGGCAACGTACCTGGATCTGCGAGGCGGTAGGCGCCCGCGACTGGCGCATGGAGTAGGTGCGATGCATCGTTGCGAAGGGGTGCGGTGGTTGTTCGTAGAAGGCGCGATTGACGCAGGGAACAAAGAAGACGAAGTTGCAGAAAAGGGAAGCGGCAGTTGCACGCGGGGGAGAAATGCGCAATTAGGCAATTGGCACAATTGGCAGAATGAGCAGGAGCGATTGTGCAATGAAGCCGAAAAATGCAATGCGACGATGCGTCTGTTGTTGAATTGGGTTGCTTCTTTGTAGCTAAACGAGAGGAAGAAAAGGGGAGCAGGGTAGTGGTATTGGATGGACACGAGAATGAAAGGGAGAAGAATGTCGATGAATACAGTCACGACAGAAGGACAGCCAAATATATCGACGAGAGAAACGAGGGGGGAGTCTGTCAGCACATGTGCGTAAAAGCTATATTTATGCTACCCGCAGCAGCAGGCAGGCCCAGGAGCTAGGCCAGGTGCGTTCGAGCTTGGGAGGCTGGAAGCAACACGAACACACGGATTTCTCTCGTCCCTTTTCCGTTTCCTTGGCTTGTTTTGTTGGAATGGTGCGTCGACGTCATCCAGGCCCACCGCAGGCTGTTGGAGCACCTGCCGTCTGAGGTGTGCGCATCCAAGGCCGGCCAGATTGGGCACTAGCGTTCTAGCTGCGCCCACCTGCACCCCCGACAGAGGCATAAATACGCACTAAGCCGGGCGAGAACAACGGCTTGAGAAAGTTGGCCAGACCAACAACCAAGAACCGCTCATCTGGTGCGGCGCACCGATAGTTTTCCCTCTACGAAAGGAGACTAAGAGTTTGCACACCTCGAAACAAACAACTACGGCACTAGCGCTTGAGCTGAGTGAACGATTTCCTGGCTGGAGGGCGACAAAAGGACGACAGAATACATCATACATTGATCGGCGGCCGCATCTGGGAGGTGGGCCGGAGACGAGGTGCAAGGTTCGCGCTGGCGCTTGGTACGAAAGAGGGAATCGACGAGGTGTGCGCAGAACTAGGGTTACGTCGTAGGTCGTACGTCGTAGGACGTACGTCGCACACCGTCTTCCTCGCCAGGCGAACAGAAGACCTTCAATAGAAATCAACAGACCAAGCAGATGAGGAGTAGTGAAGCAATGAGGATGTTGTACTGAAAACAAACAACGAGATACGAAGGATGAGTATCTCAAGAACTGCTCGGATATCGCCATGATCCCACTTGTATACTTGTATGTCTGAGTCAGGCACGACGCCATGTGAACTCTCATATGAAAACAAGTGGAGGCGTCAACAAAGGGCAACGCACAGCAAAGTCGATGCATCGACCAAAAGACAGTCTGTAACTGTATTCGCACGTTGTCCGAGCACATTCCACTATCCGACCGGTTCATATGCATATAATGAGGCGGCGGCCGATGCCCCACCTGCGCCTGCCAGCCAATCAGTTGCTCCTGCCGCCGCTCCCCGCGACCAGCCAATCAGCAACTGTGTCTTGGATGGACCTTCCGCGATTGCGACACTGGGGCCTGTCTGCGCTGTCGTCAGAGGCCCTGAGGCCGCTAAAATGGGCTGCTCCTGCCGCAACGCGTTTTTGATGTTCCTGCCCGGCGGCATCAAGCACGTCTGGGGACTTTTGCCTCGCTCCTCCACAACGCGCCGCGCTCCACGGCCTCACCATCCCGGCCCTCCACATCTACGCCGAGCCGCCAGCAGCGTCCACGACGGCCACGCTCCCAGCACGTCCATCTGTACGGCTGTCCTGCACGTCTGCGCCATCGCGTGCTCACAAACGCAAACGGCGCATCGCGACACAGACGCGGCGGACCCAGGCCCCTTTTGCTGTCACCGCTGTTTTCTCACATTTTCTTCACCTTTTGTCTTTGTCAACTTTACAGATCACGTCGTTGTTCATTGCTTTTCACTTTTTTTACACTTTTTTAATATCGTTCGTTTGCTGTGCTGTTTGTCACTTGCGTGGCTCATGCATCTGCCACCACGCCGTTTGCTCAACGGCCCATAGGCGCATTCCTCATTCCTGCGACCTATTCCCCTCCTCCCTTTCTGTCTCCGTGCCATCGCGTTGCATTGCCTGGTATGATACAGACGCCTAAGCAAAGCAGTGGCTGTGGAAGTCGACGACGCCGCCGGCAGGGACTGGGACTAGAAGATACGGCACAGAAGCATGGCCACCCGGCCTTCGTCTGAGGTCATTGATCTCACAGAGGACGACGACATGGAAAACGAGCTGGAGATCCTCCGGAGCACGCACACGCCGCGCAACCCACCGCTCTCCCGCGCACGCAACCCCATGCAGTACTTTGCCACCATCTACCGCGAGGGTGACGCTGTGTCTGCGTCGGCCAGCTTCACGGCACCGTCGCCGCGGGCTCCAGCAGCGGCTGCGCCGTCACAGCCGCCGTCCTCGCGATCCACACATTCGTCACCCTTTGCATCCACCCTGGGCTTCGGGCACTTCTTTGGACACCAGCACCGCGGGAACTCGCCCGTCAATCGAGAGCAGGCCGCAGCCGCCGCACAGGGCAGCGCGTCGCCGCCGCCGGCTCGCCCGGGCAGCCAGCAGTCGGAGTCATTGTATGGCCGGCCCTCACCCGGCCTTCACCGGCCGCCTTCAGGGCAGGGAGGGCAGGCATCTTCGCCGCGACCGTATGCCCAGCCCTCGCAGTCGGAGCCGGCGTCTATTTCTAGTCCGTCGGGTGCAACAAGACCGGCGGCTGCGAGTTCTTCGGACTATATGCTGAACCAAACCAGCCAGGCACAGCCGGCTCGGTCCGGCTCCGGAAACTCGCCCACAATGTCCACAACGTCCACAACGCCCAAACCTGCCGCCGCACAGACCAGCCAGGCCTCACCAACCCTGCCGTCACAGTCGTGGATGGGTCGCTCGTCGCCGGTGATGAACAGCAAGCAGCCATCCACGTCAGCACGCACTGCGTCGCCCCAACAGGCGTTCGCGGCTCGCTCGCAGTTTGGACACGGCCAATCGTCCTATCCGAGGCAGGCCTCGTCCTCGCAGCAGTTTACGGACATGCAGCACCACGAGCTCCGACTGCAGGCACGACAGCAGGAGGAGCAGCGTCAGCAGGAGCAACGTCAGCAGGAGCAGCGGCAGCAGGAGCAACGGCAGCAGGAGCAGCGGCAGCAGGAGCAGCAGCGGCAACGTCTGCTCGACCAACAGCGCCGACAGGAGCAGCAACGGCAACCCGAGCAGGAAGAGCAGCCCGGGTTGCGGGTAATGCTGCAGCACCTCGCCGTGCTAGAGAAGCAGCGCAAAAGTGACGAGCTACGCCAGCAAATCGAGCAACACCAGCAACGCCAGGAAGAGTACGAACGCCTTCTAGCACATACCTTTGCCCAGGCCCAGGCCCACCAAGCCCAGACCCAACAGCATCAACAACAACAGCAGCAGCAGCAGCAGCAGCAGCAACAGCAGCAGCAACAGCAGCAACAGCAACAACAGCAACAGCAACAACACCAACAACACCAACAACACCAACAACACCAACAACACCAACAACACCAACAACACCAACAACAGCAACAACAGCACAGCAGCGTCCATCAATCAGCCTCAACCGGCCACCTCTCATACAGCTTGAGCTCCGGCGCCCGGTCACCGGCCCAGCACTCACCACAGCATTCTCCACACCTCCATCCGTCCACCTCCAGCCAACATTGGTCGTCAACGCCGCTGTCTACCTCCGGTGGGCCCCCGTCCTCGCTGCGGCCGAGCCAGTCACATCCTCTGCCCAACCCTGCCGCCTACCGATCATCTACTGCTAGCGGCCATGCCTGGCAGACTGCCCTCTCACAGTTCCAAACACCCCATCGCCGCAACTCGCCGCTGCTCAGAAACTCGCCCCCAAGCCAGACACTGCCTCCGGTGCAGACCAAATCACCCCCTCACCCTTATGGAAACCCGCAACCACGGCGGCACTTGCAACATGCACGGCAGCATCCAAGCCAAGAGTCGTCGGCCACGAGCGCTACAAGTCGGTCTGCGACGCAGCAGCAACCGCAACAGCTCGCAGAAAAAAGTTCATACCCACCCTATCCGTCCTCGTTCTCTCTACGGGCGTCACCGCCGAGAGATACATCAATACCTCAGTCTCAATCCCAGCACGAACAATCACCATCCAAACGGTCTTCTCCTCCTCCTCCTAACCAAGGTCAATCACCTGGCCAGCCGTCTACGGCAGCACAGACCTCACGGGCGCAATCCCCCCGCCGTCCATGGGAACCTATCCGGTTCAACCGACCCTTGGCCGCCCATCCGCCTGCCCCTGCGACCGAGTCTCTTCCTTCTCACCAGCAGCCCGCCGCCTCCGCCTCGTCTGGAACGGCAGCTCGGAAAATCTCGGCACAATCACCAGCCCCTGTTGCGTCGTCGTCCCCTGTATCTGTCTCCTCCGGATCTTCGTCACCTCGCCCCGGATCGGCCGCTGCAAAAAGAGACAGCAACAGCAACAGCAACAGCAACAACAACAACAACAACAACAACAACAACAACAACAACAACAACAACAACAACAGCAGCAACAACAACAACACCGGCGGCAATCGTAATATCCTTAATATTAATCATCTGCGACCGCGCTTGTCCACACAAATAGAGCATCTGCCGGATCGCCTTCGTCTTGGCACGGGCCTGTACCCCTCCAAACCCATTTCCCTCTCGGCCTCATCAACAAACTCCCCAGCGCCCTTATCACCACCCCCCGCCTCGTCGCTTCCTGAGCCGCATGCTCGTAATCAGGATAAATCGGCCCCGCTCAGGACGCCGCCACGAGACCAGCATCCTCAGATCAATTTGCCCGGGGACGTTGCACGTCAGCATGAAGCGCGGCCAGACGCCCCTACGGCCACGTTGCAGGACGCGACACAACAGGACGCGGCACTCCAAGACAGGCTGCTCCAAGCAGAAGCGAGGCGTGCTACCGACAATCTTGCTCTCTCCCCCGACGCACGCAGAGCTGAGATTCGGCGCGCAGAGGCCCAGCAGGTCGAGGTCCTTCAAGCCGCAGCACTGCGAGCCGATGCCGTCCAAGCCGAAGCCCTGCTTGCAGAAGCCCGCCGTGCCGAGGCTCTGCAAACTGCCGAAGCCCAACGCGTGGACGCAATGAAGATTGACGCCGTCCAGGACGAGGTTCTACTCTCCGAAGCGTCGCCCAACAAAACTGTGTCGGTACAGTCGCCTGGTCAGACCCCTTCGGTAAAAACCACACCCTCCAAGAAGGGGACGTCCGCGTCCGCGCCCGATGCGCGCTCCGCCCCCTCTCCCACCAAGACACCAACCCGGCCCCAGCCGGACTGGACAGTGGCCGAAATCATGGCATCGCTCGAAACGTTCCTCGACTCGCTTCTCGTCGACCACGGACGGGACGTGGAGTACGCCATTGACATGGCCAAGCCCAGAGCCCAGACCGTTGTTCGTAGTTTTGACGACTTTGCCGATCTTCCGGTGCAAAACATTGATGCGAGCGACGATACAGACGACCGTGTCCTGCTGCGCGGCAAGCTGCATCGTGACAATCAACGTCGACCCGAGGCACGCACCATCCATGCCCGAGTTGTTCCGCTCAAGACACCCGGCAAGGCTGTGCCCAAGTACCGCTTCCATCACGTCGAGATTTCCAAGAACATCCTGTCGCCCAACACCCCTCTCAAGTTTATTCCTCATCTTAGAGATTTTGAAGACAACTCGGAAGAGAAGCGGCGACACGACCAGTGGATAGAGGAGCTGGAGAGCATGGAACGCAAGTCCGGCTTCGACTCGTCCAAGCTCTTCCAAAAAGGCGACACGACACGCAAGTCCGAATTTACCAAGCTGCTGTCCGACTACCTTGACCACTGGATCGCTCGACTGGGAATCGACAACTGCAGCAAGACCTCGCTCATCCGATACATGGCGAACGAGGCGCAAAATGACCAGACGATCACGCCCCAGCAAAAGAACAGCCTGCTCAGCTCGTGCGGCGAAGACTCGGCCACACCGCGCGCCGCCGTCGTGGCCAGCATGCTGACGGAGGCATTCAACCGTGTCTTCAAGAGCCGCGACGTGACCCTATACGACGTGCTCAAGCAGGACGAGGCCGTCGAAAGCGTCTTTGATCCCAAGAAGGCGACCAAGAGCAAGGACCAGGACAACGAGCCGTCCCTCGAGCAGATCCAGCAGTATCTCGGCACCTACACCTCACTCAAGTGCATGATCTGCAACACCCATTCGTGTGAGCACGGCGAGTTTGACGCCGAAAACGTTCGCCGGTGCTTTTCTATTGACGATCTTGGCGGCAAACTCTGGAAACATGTCGAACGCCGCCGTGACCGCCAGACCCGAGAACTGCGCCAGCTGCACGCACACCAACAAAAGGCTCTGGGTGCTACCAGCGGCAACAGCAACTTGAACGGCGCAAACGGCAGTGTTGAATTCGGTGCCGGCGCGAGCAAGCATGGTGCCAACAACTTGGCACCCGTCGCCAACTCTCCGCCCTGCCGCAACAAATGCTACCGCAGCTATGACATTGGCGACGCCGCATTCGTTACGCGCGAGTGGACCGAGAATGAGACGAACCTGCTTCGTAGTTTCCACCTCACTTTTGCCAACAGCACAGGCAAGGTCCCCTGCGCTCTCTGTCCGATGATGGGCCGCCACTGTTGGGAGGTGTACCGCCGCATGAAAGAACTGGGCCTCTCTATTGCGCTTCGCCCAGAGACGCCTTCGGAGGCGACAGAGCCGACGCCCGTGCCTGTTAAGCCAGTCGCCTGGTACGACCGCCACCGCAAGGTCTTGAATGGCGACTGGTCCGACCACACGCACACGCACTTGTATGCGCTGCGCGAACAGCGCGAGCCGTGCAACCACGACGGCCCCTGCACGTCCGCACGCGGCTGCCCCTGCGTGGAGGCTAAGCTTCTTTGCGAACGGTTCTGCCGCTGCACGGCCGAGTGCTGTGCGTTTAAGTTTACCGGCTGCGCCTGCCACGGATCCGGCAAGACATGCTACCAGCGCCAAAAGGAGGGCAAGCCGTGCATCTGCGTCCAGCTGAACCGCGAGTGCGACCCGGTGCTCTGTGGCGGCTGTGGCGCCCGCGAGCGTGCCGACCCGGAGAACCGCGACGACGACGAGCTGCACACGACGGGCTGCCAGAACGTGTCGCTCCAGCGTGGCAAGTCCAAGGCGGTCGTGCTGGGCCAGTCGCAGCTGCAGGGCTGCGGGTATGGCCTCTTCACAGCAGAAGACATTGGCGCCGACGAGTTCATTATCGAGTACGTTGGCGAGTTGATCACACACGACGAGGGTGTGCGGCGTGAAGCGCGCCGTGGCGACTTCTTCGACCAAGGCGCCAACGCGTCGTACCTCTTTACGCTGCTCGAGCAGGACGGCATCTGGGTCGACGCGGCCATCTACGGCAACCTGTCGCGGTACATCAACCATGCGTCTGAGAGCGACAAGCGTGGCTGCAACATCACACCCAAAATTCTCTACGTCAACGGCGAGTTCCGCATCCGGTTCTCGGCCATGCGTGACATCAAGGCGGGCGAAGAACTTTTCTTTAACTACGGAGAAAACTTTCCCAATTTGACAAAGAAGCTGCTCGAGGACAAGGCGTCGGCCAGCGACGACGACGCTCTGGCCAATACTGGCAAGAGCCGACAAAGCGGCGCAGCACAACGCCAGGCCACCAACTACAACAACAGCCGTCGAAAGGGCCAGCAGGCCATGCGCAGTCGTGCGCCTACAAAGAGTGTGCAGACTGGGCCTAGCAACAGTCGCAGCGGTGGAAACGGTAAGAACATCCGCAGCAACGACAGTTCTCACCTCCCGCGTCGCTCGCGGCCCAAAGGCGGTGCCCGGAAAGAGGCCCCGCCACCCCGCCGCGCCGATACAGACGACCTTTCTGCGGATGACGATGGCGACGATGACAACGACGATGCCGACCACATGGACATTGACAGTGGCAACGGTTCACAACGCGCCTCGGTTCGAAACAGATCGACCAAGTCTGCCTCGCTGAAGCGGAAGCGGCGCAACACCATCGTTGACGACGACGATGGCGACGACGAGAGCGATGGCGGTCACAGGGGGAAAGTTGGATCAGACGATGAACAGCTCGCCGAAGAATCCCACCGCACCGGGCGCAGCAGCCGCCGACGCCCTGGTGCCACTACGACATCATCCTCGGCAGCCGCTTCCGCTACAGCGGGCATAGGCGCCATCGCCACGGAATCGGCTGCTCTGCCCGAAACGCCACGACGTCTTAGAGCCCGTCTCGGCACCCAACGAGCAGCCAGCCGGGAGAGGAGCGACCACGGGACGAGCCACGATGACCATCCTGCCGATGAGGACGGAGGACACGGAGGCGGTGTTGTTGACTCACCGCGGACGCGGAATCGCCGCGCAGCGATGCGCTTCGGTAACGGCGGGGCCGCGTTCACGGACGGGGATAACGACACCGACCAACAGCCACTTAAGAAGCGGCCACGCATCGGCACTCGGCGTGGTGACGCAGCCACGTCCAATGCTGCCGCACAGCACAACAATACGGACAGCGACAACATGGTTGTTGACTCGGACGAGTCGATCCCGACGCGCTCCCTGCGGAACAGGCGGCCTCGGCAACAACAGCCGCGACTGACAGAACTGTCGACGGCAGATCTACCGGACCGGCGGCGTGCGGACAGCGATGGCGGCGGTGGCGAAGGGGACGAAGGCGGCACCAGCGCGCCCGCATCGGCTGTGGTGGCGCTCGGCACGACCGACGATGACCAGGGCAGTATGACTTCCGCAAGCCAGTCGTACGGGCCAAATCATCAGAGCACGCCAGGCAGGGCTGCCCGTACTGCTGCTACTGTGCCTGCCACTGCGACCCCAACCACATCATCGACAGTCAACACGCGCCGCCGTAACGTTGTGCCCGATTCCGACGACGATGTGGACGTGTCCAACATCACGTCGAGCCGCGCCAGCCGCAGCGGGATGCGCAGCGCGCCCAGACCGTCTTCGCATGCCGCCCCGACGACGTCTCGTGTTGCCACGCCCCTGTCGCGACCACACACGCCCAAGGTCAACGACAAGGCGGATGCCGGCGGCGGCACGAGCACCGGCAACCTTGGCCAGACCGGCAGCATCCGGCGAAGCCTGCGGAGCAACGACGACGCGTCCCGACCGGGCTCGTCTGGCTCAGGGGTTGTGCCGGCGCCCACATCCGCCCCGGCCGCGCAGTCGACGCCGATCAACACGCGCTCTCGGTCCGGTGGCGAAGACGACAGTGGAGGCAGTTCAGTTGAGCGCAGCCAGCGCAAGCGGCAGATGCCGGCCCGATACCGCACGGAGGATGCACTGTAAAGAACGTCGGACAGTTTGGAGACGTTTTATTTTTTTTATTTTTTCCGTGGTCAGTTATTATTTTTATTGCAAGGCATGGAGCCTGGTTAAGCTCATATGGTAGCGGGCAACAGCCTATTCGGTTTGATTTTTTTCTTTCTTTTTTTTGGTTGCTCTTGTCGTTCCCCGCTGGCTAATGAATCTTTTTTGCATTTCTCTTTTACTTTCTCTATTCCCTTCTGTATTTTAGATTCCCATTCAAATACCTTGCACATTTAATGGAGTACCAGAATTTTATTTACTGATTTTTTGTCTCTACAAGACCACCGCGGATTGCCTCGCAGCTACTGCTAACACTTGCTACAGAGACTGCCAGAGGACTATAAAGATACACTATTGTTCAGAACAAACTTCACATGATTCTACGCCAGTTTTTGGTTTGCATTGATTTTGTATTGATTTGTATTTCCTGCAACTCGTGCGAGCAAACATGCAGTCCGTCTATTCCTCCCCTAAGCTGACCGAAACGAAAACAAAGTGTACATCACAGCAGTATTTCTCCCTCCCCCAGGCCACCGTTTGACACACTGCTCATCTCTTCCTGCTTTTTGGCTCGCTCTCAAGCAAAAACGCATCAAAATGCAGATAGGTGTACATGAATGAAGTCATAAAGAATTAAAAGTAAGTAGTCGGTAGTAAGACAAGGTCAAGAAGTGAAAGAAAAAGAAAAAAAAACAGAAACAAGGTTGACGGTAAGAGACAAAGTAGCAAATAAATGCGCGAGAACTAAACAAATACAACGAAAAGAAAGCAAATCTAATAGTACTGCGTCCCCTCGGGGCATCAGAGGTCATTGACGATGTGTAACGAGGCCGTTGGTTTAGAACTGTGATTGATCAATCATGTCGAAGACATCGTCATTTTCTGAGTTGCTGCTCAACATCCCACTGAAGTAGGCCTCGGTGATGCTGGTATTATCAAACCCGAATGACTCGAGGTCGACAGAGGGCGCCGTGAAAGTGGCGTCCAGGAGCGAGGGGACGTGTGTGGCGCTTTTGGGCGGCATCACGTTGTGGCACACAGCGGCCAGAGGATGCGTTGACGGAATGCCCAACGGCACGACTTGGGCAGATGACAAGGCAGGGTTCACTGTAGTCACAGGAGCGACGGTCGTGCCAGTAGTGTTGCTGTTCTCACGCAGACTCGAAGCAATGCGAGTGAGAATCAGCTGCTCGACGCTTGGCTCGGTGCCAGCGGCTTCTCTGCTACCATCAGGACCGGCATCAGGAGCAGCGATGCTTGACTCTTCCATAGAAGATTCCAGCGGGGCAAGAACAGGGGCCTGGCTGGGAGAGTCAGCCTGTGTGTGTGTAACAGCCGGCATCTCTTTTGGAGGCACGGCCTGAGTGGGAACCGAGCCCTGGATTGGTGCAGGAGGCAGTTCCTGTGCTTGCTGGACCTGGGCAGGGACTTCACGTGGGGCTTGAATAGGTGCCTGAACTCGTGCCTGAAGCAGTGCTTGTGATGAGACTTGAAGTTCCTCAGTGCCCGCCATGTTGACGTCTGTTTCGCGAGAGACGAGATCGAAAGCCTTTGCAGTGGCTTGATTGGGGATGGCCGGGGTCGGCAGGGCAGCCATGGCTGATGTGATACTGCAAGTAGTCGCAGCCTTCTCAAAGTCTTCAAGCTTCTCGAAGAAGATGCCCGTTGCGCCCTGGTGACGATGGGGGCCGTTGATCCGGCAGCTGCCGTGCGTGCCATCGTGCCAGATCTCACTGGGACTAATAGCACAAGCTGAAGCCGCACTCGGAGAATCGGAAACACTCGGCGAGCTGTAAGAAATAATCTGTGACGGGCGAGACTCGTCCTCAGACACATTGGAAGCAGCCTGGGGAGAGTCCATGGAAGGAGACGTTGTCTTCTTGCGGCGGGTCTTTTTCGCCTTACCGCTGGCCAAGGCGGATGACAGACCAGACGGATGCGGTGCGGCAATGGCTTGAATCTCGGCGCCGGTCTGGTCAGGGCTTGCAGCAAGCATAGCTCTCTTGGGCGGGTTGAACTCCACCTCCACGGTAGAGCGCTTTCTCTTGCTGCCTGTGCTCGTGGGGCTGGAAGTTTCTTGAGACACAGCAGTGGCAGCCACAGGGCTTGTGTTTGGGTGGTTGTGCTTGCGCATCACATCAGCGATGATGTTAGCGTTGCTGATAATAGGAGCGCTGGTTCTTCTGCCGCCTGGCTGGCCCTCAACATGACCGGTGGTGGTTGAAATTGAGGGCATAGACGCAGATGTGGCCATGGGCAGTGATGCAGGCACAGCATTGTGGAAATAGGGAGCCGTCCCGTGAGCATGCATCATGTGAGCACCTTGGAAAATTGCCATGGGAGCACCGTGGTGGATACCGAGCCCAGCGGAGTTGGAGTTGGCAAAGTCTCCGCTCATGTGGCTGAAGGCCTGGTAAGACGGTTGGAACTGGGGAACCGACCACGTCTCCTGGGGAGTCGTCATGTTCTGTCCACTCTGATCCGTAGTAGACATAGAAAACATGCCTGCGTTGGGGTCACCGCCAGGGTTGTTGCCTTGAGCGAACACAGACGCGATGGGGTTTGTGGTGTTGTTGGGCATGCCCACAGCATTTGATGTAAAGGGGCTCCCAAGGTTGGCGAACGAATAGGTACCGTTGGCGCCATTAACTCCGCTGCCCATGTTGCGGGCCGCAGTACGAACGGTGTTCGCACCAGTCGTGCTGTTGGCACTGTTTGGGTTGTATGCACCCGCACCAGTGGCCGGCATAGTTGGTGTCGGTGCAGGTGTCGCCATGGACGTTTGCACAGGTGGGCTAGCAGACGATGGCATCGCCAGGCCCATCATGTTCTGGTAGTTGGCCGCAAAGGCAGGCATGCCAGGGGTCTGAGCGAACGGCATGCCTCCGTGGTTGTGGCTGCCAGTGGCAGGAGCACCAGGTGCAGGGGTTTGGGAAAAGGCAGCAGCGGGCGCGGTGACCAGTCTTGGGGTAGGTGAGTCCGCGCGCGTCCGGAAGGTCACACGCGGCGGGTGCTGAGGAACCGAGGGAGGCTCATAGTTCTCAGTACCCGGGGCGCCAGGTTTGGCTCCAGAAAAGGGCGGGTGGTTGAGAGAGGCGCTGCAGAGGCAAGTTAGTATGTGATTGTGTATGCTGCAATGTGGAATGGAGAATACGAAGAAGAACAAAAGGACAAGGGCGTAACAGATACGTAGAAAGCAGGACACAGGGATAAGGAAGGAGCAGTAAGGCGATGGAGGAAGGCGGGGGGTAGAGAAAAAGAGAAAACAAAAGGGGGACAAAAAGAAAAGATAAGAAAAAAGAAACTTACCCCCATTCTTCCTTCATACCATAACGACTCTTGAGCCATTGGTATTGGCTTTTGGCAAAGTTGGAGTCTTTGAAGACCCGGTGCCATTCTTCGACCATGCCTTCGCGCGAGAACTTCCAGTAGTTCCGCAAGAACCAGAGGATCTGGTTGGGGTCGTAGTGCTGGTGAATCATCTTGTATCGAGGTCCGTTGTTCAATATCGTAACGTTGTGTGCTTAACGTTTCTTTTGTGATCTTATCAAAAGATGCAAGAGACACAATGCCGCCAGCGGATATAAGGAAATGGAGAGGTAAGGAGTGTAAGAAGTGAAAAAAGGTAAAATTAAGAGGTGAAGGGAATGGAGATGCAGCTGCCTGTATCAAAGAGAGTTGTTTCGAGTAGGATAAAAAAGAAAGAAAGTAATAAGAGTAAAAGGAGAGGTAGGACTGTTCTTGTAGCCGATTTTCTTTTGGTGGTGGACCATACACACAGTGAGTAGATCCAGATCTCCGTCTTGCAAGGCACAAGGAAGCTTGCCAAGTGCGATCTTGGGATTGGAAGTCTGCGAAGAGTGTAGAGGGTTGGGAAGTAGACGCGGTGTCACAGTATCTCTTTCGTTTCTTTCAAAATGGAAAACAGGAAATGCGATAGGTTTGCTCGATTTTGGAGGAGAAGAGCGTAACAGGGAGGAATAGGAGAAGAGGGATGGAGTATCGTTAAGCCCTCTTGAACAGCCTTGATTGGAGAGGTAGCGAATATGTGCGGGAAGAATATGGAAGAAATGTGCTGTGATCAGAATAAATTGGATGCTGTGAGGAATTTGACACGATGTTGAAGACATGAGAATGGGGAAAAAACAGGAAAGATTGCTATTGCAGACCGAGGCTGCTGCTGCTTGTGTAATGAAAACCACAAGTGAGTGAGCTGGAGGTCTTTGGCGGGATGGAATATTGAGTTGTGGTACAAAGCAACAACAAGGTGAAAGCTGCGAGTGTAATAGAGAATATGTGAAAGAATGGAGGAAGCGAAGCCGTGAAATGAAGCAATCGAACAGAAAGAGTGGATGCAGAATAAAAAAGGAGCAGAAGAAAGGCTTTTTTATTGGAAAGGAAGGGGAAAAATTAAGAAGTGTACAGGAAACGAAGAGGGGCGTATGTGGGAGAATTTCTGGAAAGCTCCTGGAGGGGTGTGCAAAATGGAGAGGAGGGGGGATGAAAAAAAGTGACATGTGCGATGTATCTTGCGCTCCGTGCACGACAGTATCGGCGGCGGACAGTGCAAACCTTCCGCCTGGATGCTGTGTGAGATCTCTGTTTTTTCTTTCTCTTCTGCCTTGTGGACGTTTTTCTGCTTCTTTTCGCCTTCTTTTGCACCGTTTTTCACCAGTGCTTGTTTCCGTTTGTCCTCTATTGACGAGGCTCAGGACGTTGCTATTGTTCACCCACTTTGGGTCATCGACACCTTCCAGCATCGCCATATTTGCGGGTCCGGTACATGTTCTGGCACTTTTACAGTGTCCTTCGTAGGAGGAGTAGAGGGGCCGTACATGCGTTCGCAGACGCTGGTGTGGGAGATTTGGGCGTCTTGTGTCACCATGAAGACGAATAGTGAACAAGGTGCGCGTTGACTGCGTAGGAGATAGCAGGCAGCAGAAGAGCAAATGACGTGCAAAAATGTGGGCGAAAGAGGT